GTAAAATTGAAGAAAAATGGAAATTGGGACCTTTATCATTCCCAAGTTTACGCGGAGTTATTTTCGAAAAGAGAAAGACTTCCCAATGATCAATTTTTATAATACAATAATTTATTGTATTTCTATGTTAAAGGTTAAAATCTTCTCCTATTATTGTTTCGAACATGTCAGCATTTAATTTAATCACACATATAATAAATATCCCTCACTTCTTTTTTTCATAAATAAATTATTTAAATTTCTTTAAGTAAAAAGTGTTTATCAATAATATTGAATAATAATTGAAAAATTTACCATTGTATCAGAAAAATAGCTTAACTATGCCGTAGTTGCTTTTTTGAATATCCCAAGAAAAATAAGTTTCTGATAAATATTCTAAAAGATGTTTAATTTTTTTTTTGTCTAGATATTGAAACAAGATCCCCAAAATATTCTCTTTAATGCTTCTTTAAAAAATGTAGCATTAAAAATATCAATCCTCCAATAACTACTTTAGATTCGAGTATCGTTAGCAATTCAATTTGATCCTGCTAATACTGTGTATACATCTACAAACTTTTTTTTTCTCTCTGGACCATTCAAAAAATTCTTTTTCATTTTCTTCTATTTAATAATTACAATTATTATATGCATCATCAATATCTATAAATTTTCTTTTGTTGAAAATGATATCTGCTCGTTCTGAACCAGCTCCTTCCACTAGCTCGAGATCCCTTTTATCTGCGTTATTTATATCCAAAGAGCCTACATGAGCATACGTTAACGCTCTGCCAGCATAGGGCCCGAAATATTCAACCCAATTGGATTTATCTACATATCCGGTGTTTTTTGGAAGACTGAAGTAATTTATTTTCGTGTAGTATAGAATAAGAAAAAATTCATTGGTGATGATGATTTTTCCCGTTCTTTTTGGAAATCAGTCTCGTTAAGAATTTTTTTCAACTTTTTATATTGATGCACTTCGTTTGGGTTTGGAATGTTCGAATTCAAATCTAATCCAAGGAATGCGTCATCATACGGTGCTGAGACTCCGTTGATTATACAATGTTTACCTTTACGAACATCAAAAATACCATTATCACATTTAATTTCTTTTTTATTTCCAGTATAATTTGCCGAATTTGTGTCCTCCTGGTGATTTGCAATTTCCAATTCAAGATGATGATTTATAAATTGAAAATCATCACTATTCAATCTTGCTCCAGTGTGAATTTTTGCAATTGTTGTTACCTCATTGTCATTCACCATTCTAGATTTCAATGTCCGGTAAGATGCAACAAAATGCTCAAAGTGTTGCCAAAATTGAGCACCTGGTGGTCTTTTTGGATTTAATTTGACTTATGGTCACCATAATCACAAAAACACCAATCTCGAAGCACAGGATCTTCACCATCGGAAGATTGCGTTAGTATACAAATCCAGATGTAAGGAGCAATCAGGTATCCAGATTGAGTTTCACCTATTCGTTTGTAGCTAATCAACCCTGGCCAAGCAACTTCTCCAGGGTACTTACTCGTACCAGGGATAAATTTATCAGATTCCAAGAGTACTCGAGTTAACATCGCCCGACCTATAGCTCTACAGTCACTTGGTGAAAATTGAAACGCCTCACTGTACCTGTCACGAAGTCTTTTACGTAAATCGTTCATTAAATCATTTACATTAACTTTTTTAATATCGCGTTTTTCCAGGATCTCTTGTAAAGCTTCGAGAGCCCTCCCCTCCACAATCATCCACTAAAATTTTGGTTATATGATCTGTCATTTCAAAGACTGGAGTCACATTATTATTATTGCAAATTGTCGGAGGGATCAATGAGCAATCGGTAGTTCTACGCACTTGCGGTGCGTAATTTTTAGGACTCGATAGAATTAGTTGCCGTTGCAGTACACAGTGTAATCACGAAAGCACCACTCAAAGCAAGGTCGTGTATATTAGTCAGAGTCCGGAAAAAATCAGATGATTGATCATTCCAATCATTAATCGAATGTAATCCATCGACAATTAAAAAAATCGTAGCGTCTTTCATTTCAATCTCTTCGTACTTGGCTAATAACTCGAACATTTGCCATGGTAATGGTGCTTCATATTCTGCAATTATCAATTCCAGATGTTTTTCCATAAGAAGTTGTTTAAGAATTCTAGTTCTAATTGCACTATATGCTTCTTTTTCCACACCATACCTTAAGCTATTACCGTTTTCGAAGCTGATATTGAATACCCATGCGTTACTAATTCTTTCTTTAGTTTCAGGTCTTTGGAATCTGATAAACATGCGGGCGTCGTATTATAAAATTCTTCTGCGTTTCGTTACTTTCCGGTACCAGCACCAGAAAGAAAGAGATAAATTGGTATAAAAGATTTATCAACGACTCCCCCAAGGTAATATTCGTAATGCATTCTAAGTTCATTCCTCAAATTTTCGTGTAAGCCTTGTCCCGGCTGATATACCCAGTTCTTACCGACACCATAAAGCAGAGGCTTTGTTTTTTTGTATTGCAAACCTGTGAGAATAATGAAACACCGGTGTTAGACCTGGAATCGTCTCAAACCAAGCTAACAAAACTAATGAACTTAATTACACAATTATCTCAAAGGCCTTTCCTAAGAGAAATTAACGATAAACAAATAAAACAATTTATTATCACGATTCACTTGTGTAGTAGGTTATCACGATCAATCCTATGATGAAGACAAGAAGAAGGTTGAAAGTGTAAAATAGTAACTTTATTAAACTGTAGAGTTATAAGTCTAGTCCCAAGACTTATTCAGAAAACTATCTGATCGAACTCTCTTCGAACTCTGTTGACTCAAAGTCAACTTACAGGTCTATTTATATAAAATTGTCAACTAATACTATACTACGCCTTTCAATAAGTACATATAATAAAAATAATATAAGTAATGAAAAGTTGACTATATAATATTTATATTAAAAGGTATAAAGTCGACAAAACGATACATGTATGATATTTGGCGCAGTTGAAGATCATTTTAAGGCACAGTATAAACTGCGGCTAACACCGGACATCGCGTGATGTCTTGATATTGTCCGAAATTTATACCGAAACATGGTGGATACCGGACATTATCTGGCTATTATGGCAAATTCTGGACAAACTCCAGAATTTTTTTTTCATAGAGTAAAAATAAACAAGATTAATAATTAATTATGAAATTACATTTATAAAAATTGAATATAAAATTACACATGTAAATTTTTATTAGTTTGTGTGTTTAGCCAAGCCGATGTATGACTCTCCAAATTGCACAATAAGAAATTTGATGGTCTAACCATAACTCCATTTCAGATTATAGTTCCGACAAATACCAATCAACCTTTTCTTTCAAAAGAATTTTGTATCTTCAACTTTAAAAATTCTTGACCTTCCTGGTTTTAATGGCAGTAAATCTTTGACACACATACTTTTTAAAACTCTGGAAACAGAAGACTTGCTGATATTGAATTGTCTCGCTATTGTCCTACATGATAAACCTTCTAGTGTCCTTTCAACTAAACTATTATAATATATTAGGCAGTATTTAGACATTTACAACGCGTAAAATGGTCAATGGTAACGTGTTTATTTATTTTCAATTTGCCGACAACCCGGCAACCCGGTAAGTTCTCGGTAAAAATTTGTCATGTGTCCTGTATACTATGAAATCAGCTGTAATATTTAGTGGCGCAGTTTATCGCAGACTTTATTTTTTTTTTTTCAAAATTTCAAAATTTTGATTTAATAAAAAAAATATATTATTGAAATGATTATAAGAGCTAATTTTGGAACCGGCTAATTATTAACCGGCTAATTGGCGGTTAATTATTTAACCGGTTAACCAAATTAACCGGAATCACTATTTCAGCTAGTCAAAATTCTCAAAATCAAACCATAATAGCATCTAATAGTTACCCAAATTATCTCCATTTGTGTTGATCACGGTCATGACCGTGATTATTAGCAATCCCCTACTCAATTTTCAATATAAAATAATATAAAATTAACTATTAAAAATCATTATATTTGGTTAAGAATTTATGCATCTTTTAAATTTGCATTGATACTGTCCTTGTAAGGTAATTGATATAAATGTTCAATTTTTCTAACTAATAAACAAAAATGAAAAAGAAAATCTTTTTCTTGTCTTGTAAATGAAAAAAAAATTTTTTTAAAAACTTTTGAAGTGTCCCCTGAAATATAAATATCCGAGATCATCGAAACATAATAAATGCTGGTGGCTGCTGAGAAATTTGATTAATTTTGAATGATCTACAAAGTGCATTTCTTTTCTCCAAGAATTTATTCATTTTATTTCGCTATATACAAAGTTTAATATATAAACATGCGAGCTGCTAATAATTCGGATGAGTTGGTTAATTGGATTGAAGAATCTATTTTAAGAAAAAGTATCAAATACTACGATTATACACAATTTAGTAATTTTCAAAAGATTGGTATAGGCAGCTTTGGAAAGGTCTATCGTGTAAATTGGAAAAGTTCAAATCAATATCTCGCGTTAAAATCGTTTCATAACTTTAGCAATGACTCTGTTAAACAATTTGTTAATGAGGTAATAACAAAATAAAAGTTATTTCGTATAAATCTTTTTGTATATCAAGCTAAAATTATATTTTAATAATTTTTAGTTTAAACTTCAACGAGAAGTTGATTTTCATAGCAATATCATTCGCTTTTTGGGAATTACATCAAACCAAGGTATTAATCTTAAATAATGCGGATATTTAATGAAGTTTGCATTTTAATTTTAATTAATTTACTAAATTATATAATTTTTTTTTTTTAAAAAAAAATAAGAAATTCAAAATGATCATTTGAAAATATATTGGTTAGTAATGGAATATGCTGACGGCGGTGCGCTTAAAAACTATTTGAAGAGTAATTTTGATAAGCTATCTTGGGGGGACAAATACAAATTGGCATTCCAGTTGGCTTGTGCTGTCTCGTGTTTACATAACGAAGGAATTGTGCATCGTGATTTGGTAATCTTATATAATATATATATTTTTTTTCTGAATATTGCTTTTTAATAACTAATATTTTTTATATGCATATGATAGCATTCCGGCAATGTACTAATTCACCAAGGCGTTATTAAATTAGCTGACTTTGGATTATCGAAAAAAATTGATGCATCAACTAATCAATCAAAAATTTTTGGAGTAATTCCTTACGTTGACCCAAAACTCTTTAACAAACGAAGAAGTAACATTACTTCACCACAATTTAATGAAAAGAGTGACGTTTACAGTGTTGGTGTACTGTTATGGGAGATATCAAGCGGTCATCCTCCTTTTTATGTTAAGAATGAAGAATATGACATTCGTTTAGCTATCGAAATTTTAGGAGGACTTAGAGAAAAGATCATTCCCGGCACACCTGAGGATTATGTAAACATTTACACTGGTAAGTACATGATTATGAATTGTATTTAAGAATATAAAGTAAATGGTTATTAAATTATTTATTTAATCTCAGGATGCTGGGATAATGATCCGGATAATCGTCCATCAATTAATCAAGTAGTTGATAAATTAAATGCAACTATTACGACAACAAGTGTAACAGAAAATAATCAAACGAAATATTATGAATCAAATCTTCAACAACATCGTTTGGATAGCATCACTACTTCTAGTTCTCAAATTGTTCGATTTGATATAACGAATAATTATGTAACAAATACTTCCGGAATTATTGATAATATTGATAATTTGGCTGGTCATAAGAATGTAGAAGAAATAGAATCAAATAATGAAGTATCAGATATTATTTATGATAAAACTACTGAAAGTTTGATGATTACGGAATATAATAAGAACGACATATTAAACGTCTTAGGCGGATTGCAAAGATATCGAAAATTGACAAAATTGTATTGTAGAAATTCTCAAATAACAAGCTTACCAACATTACCCAACTCTTTAACGGAACTTAATTGCTCCATTACTAAAATAACTATCCTACCAACATTACCCAACTCCTTAACAATACTAGATTGCTCTTATACTGAAATAACTATCCTACCAACATTACCCAACACCTTAACGGAAATTGATTGCTCAGATACCCCAATAACTATCCTACCAACATTACCCAACTCTTTAACGGTACTCAAATGTTATGGTACTAAAATAAATAGCTTACCAACATTACCCGACTCCTTAACGAAACTTGATTGCTCTGATACTCCAATAACTATCCTACCAACATTACCCGAATCCTTAACGGTATTTATATGTTTTAAAAC